ACGTGGAGCCGCATGGGTCCCGATGACGAGGGAAAGCACGAGGCCATGTGTTCAAGTGGCACGCCTGAAGAGTTTGAGAAGCTGTGGCATGAGACCCCTTTTGGTGTGGCGCAGAAGGAGACTATGGCTCAACAGCAACTTGAGCAAGACCCACAAAAAGTTGCTTTGAAGTCGATGGCCAAGGCAGAGGCAACGCCAATGGAAATGTAAGCGTTGATGATTATTGTGTACTAAGACGGCTCAGATTTGTATACAAAATGAATAAATCGTTCATTTCTACTTTCTGTATCGCCTTGAGTTTATCCATAAAGAAGCATTTCATACATAATTGATAATTATTGAGTTTTATATTTACGTGCATTTTGTTGCGAAGATTTATTGACTAGCCGTTTACGAACGGTCCAACAACAGCCCACTAATTCTTTATACTAGTGATTTATATTCTTTTCGTTGCGTATTTTCGATCATGTTTATGACACACTAAAAAAAAGTATAATATTTTCTCGCACAAATCGACCTAGAATCCGCAATCGTTTGATTGCCAAGCTCATGGAACACTGTCGAGTTTTACTCCATCCTGGTCTGAATCATTAGGCAGCATGATCGTCGAATTGTCAGATGGAGATGTTGTCGAATTAAACACTGAAGTTATCATTTTCACATAAGCGATGTCCTCGTAGCTACATGCCTCTGTGCTACCCTTAGCAAAGTTTTGTGTCCAATAATGTTTATACGTGCTGTCTTGGCTATAGGCGTACGCAATGCCAAACATGGTATAATCGCCAAAAATATTAGCGCGATGTCCGATAGACTGCATCCAGGAATTCATAACAGCAGCGACATTCACTTGACCCGCAGCAACATTTTCAGCCGCCCTAGTCCATCTATAGCCTGCTTCAGTGATTCGCATTGCCATTGACGATCCGTCAGATCCTAAGTGGCTGATAAAGTTCTTCGCGGCCATGTCAATCGAATGACGTCTTGACGCAGCTAATAATTTCACGTTCATACACAAAGCAGAGAGACCGCGCGAGGCGCGTTGGGAGTTGACGCTTGCCAACATAATTGCAGCATATTGACTCGTCGACGTGTAAGTAGCCGTTGAACTGTATAATTCATAGTGGGTCATGCTTGAAGCATCACCTGCAACCAACTCAATCACAAATATGACCGCGAGTAATATCTTGAAAAAGATCACCATTTTTGTGGGTTTGCTTTGCCAGAATTGATTGATAAGCCGTAAGTTAGGAAGTGTCTAAGCAGCAATTCGACCACTTGACCTGAGCAACGGCATTTGCTGCCTAGTAAGGT